CTATTCACGACAAAAATAATCCACGTCGCAGGAACCGAAAATGTTGTCGCCGACGCACTATCACGGATAGAAGCGATAAATATGCCAATAGTTACAACGACAGAAGAGCTTGCACAAGCACAAGCCGACGATCAAGAACTAAAGGATCTGCTGGAATCCGAGTCGTCTTCCCTTCAATTGAAGAAATTACGAATCGATAATACCGACAAGGTAGTATATTGTGACATTTCCGGAGACAACGTCCGTCCTTATGTACCAAGCGATTTACGGAGACGCATCTTCAATTCAACTCACAACCTTTCACACCCAAGCGGACGAGCGACAAAGAAATTGATCTCCAAGAGCTTCGTGTGGCCCAACTTAAACAAGGACGTCACAGAATGGGCAAGGTCATGCCTCCATTGTCAACGCAGTAAAGTACACAGACACAACCATAACGCACCGGAGCATATAAATATTCCAGGCATCCGTTTTCACCAAATACATATCGATATTATCGGACCCCTGCCACCATCAAAAAACATGCGATACTGCTTGACGATGATCGATAGGTTTACACGATGGCCTGAGGCAGTGCCTATTCCTGATATCAGTGCAGACACCGTTGCCATCGCATTCTATACTGGTTGGGTTGCAAGGTTCGGAGCACCGGCTGTTATAACCACGGACAGAGGATCACAGTTTGAGTCACAGTTATTTCAGGCTTTGACCAAGCTCATTGGAAGCAAAAGAACACGTACGACAGCTTATCACCCCGCTTCCAACGAAATGGTGGAACGATGGCACAGGTCACTCAAAACAGCAATAATGTGTCACAACACTAGCAATTGGACAGAAGTCTTACCCACAGTACTCCTCGGGCTCCGAACCAGTTATAAAGAAGACGTTAAAGCAACTGCAGCTGAACTCGTGTATGGTCAAACTCTTCGTTTACCAGGCGAATTCTTCGTTGACGAAGAAATATCCAAAGATCCTCAAATATTCGTAGAAAAGTTCCGGGAACACATGCGGAAGGTTAGAGCTACACCAACAGCACACCATTCCAAGAGAAGAGCATTCACACATAAGACGCTACACACATGCACTCACGTCTTTGTCAGAATCGACGCAGTCAAAAAACCCCTGGAACAACCTTATGAGGGCCCGTACAAAGTAATCGACCGACCTTCGAACTACGTCTTCACGATTGATGTCAAAGGTCAGCACACATGCATTTCAACTGAGAGATTAAAGCCAGCATTCTTCGAAGCAATCACACCTGAGCCAGATGATCCATCGGAAAGCACGAACGGAAACGATACAGAGCTCAAGTCCTCTACAATGCCTCCACAACCTGTAAGGACATACGCAGGACCCAAGAAACGCATTACTTTCGCAACTTAGTAACCTAAGTCACTCGGGGGGGAGTGATGTAGGGACTTGATACATTGATCGGACAACTCGTCCGTATGAGGATTCACCTTAAAGGAACTAGGCTCATATAGGCCAATGAAATATAACGTTCGGCGCGCGCAAGCCAACTACCTTACCTTACCTAACTTGAGAACTTATCTTTTGACTATTCTTAATTTTTGATAACCATTATTATTGTTCTTGGTATAAAAGTATTTTCTGGATTAATAAAACTTCTTTAACGATAAAGGAACACGTCTCTTTTCTTTGTGACATTAACTCGCTTACGAATAAGTACTCTACAATGAGCCAAAAAATGGCTCCATCTGGTGATCAAAAGATCTATGATCATCAGCGCCGTTCGGATTCGGCGTTAAACTGTAGGTCTTATACATCAGTATACATCAGTAGTATACATATCAGTAGATATTTGTCTCTAATATCTGACTGAGGTAGGATTCTGTGGACCAATCACCCACAAATCCGAAAAACAATTTGATTCGAGAAACGAATATAGGCCTTGGACAAAAGAGGTCTATAGACGTCCTATGCTCCACATAAGGAAATAAAAGGAGTCGTTAAAATTAATATATGTATAGCAGAAATAGGACGTTATTTTTTAAACTTTTTTTGTTAATATCTTTTTAACGAAGGGCGAGCGATGGCTAGTTCAGGCAAAGTTACTCAGGGTCATGACCTTGATAACATATGTTAAGGGGAGGTTCTCATGAGACCCGACCAAAAAATCGATTTTTTTTTACATTTTTCGATAGCTTATGGTGTGTATAATATGTTCCCAAAGCGGTTTGGCCAATAACGATTGCATAAAAAAGCACCAGATATTACTAGATGCGCTAGCATTAAAATAACGGAAAGTATGCGTCTCTATACACTAATATGTGTGGTTGTAGCGTGCATTATCGAAGAAACCCGCCCAAATCGCTGAAATGGAGCAGTACGAAGTCGACGAAGGATTGATGTATGGCCCTGGCATTGCTGATTAGCTATAAGGTACATTATTTTGCTAATAATTCTAAAAGTTAACCAAATCTTAAAACGCGTTTTCTGAAAAATCATGTTTTTCAAACTGGTCTCCACAATATCTACTCGATAGATTGACTTCAATTTTTTTATTTTAAAGTAGATAAAATTTATTGGAGCCTAAATTAGCTCCAACTAAACCAAGCTAAACTAATTGTTAATAACTTTTCAAATTTATTTAAACCCCCCTAAATTCAGCTGATATTTGTTGTTTTTATATATTTTTTCGAGCACTTTAAAGAGCGAAAAATGTGGAAAAAACGGTACTAAAAATTCACATGTCCGCCATTTTTGTAATTTTCGACTTTTTATTGATATTATAGGTACAAGCTCCAATAAATATCATATAATTTATAAAATTTTTTGGCTTTTTTTATTTCAGATGACACGAACGTGCTGTGCGATGGAGACCGTTTGGGTACTTTTTTTTTTCATTGTCACGTTCGACGGCGTATTAACACTTCCCATGAAACTTTTATGTATCAAAAAAAATTTTGGTAAATCTTCGGAATAGGGGAAACAGCTCCGATCTTCTTGACCTTGACATATGTTGTCAAGGTCATGACCCTGAGTAACTTTGCCTTAACAACTAGCCGCCGCTCGCCCTTCGTTAAAAAGATATTAACAAAAAAAGTTTCAAAAAATAACGTACCATTATACTGCTGTATATAATTAAAAAAAACATTACTAAATGACAATAATGTTAAATAAACGTTGAATATCTATGGAGAATTATGTTACGATTCTAACGGATACAAATTACTCATTATTTCAAAAAATCGTTCAATACGTTTGTCAAAAGTATACAGTCTTTTGAACAAAAATTCAGCTATGTAATGTTCATAATTGTACTCTCTTGTACCAAAACGTGGAATATTAGCACGTAAATCCCAGGGGCACACGACTTCTACGATTGTACT